ACTGCTAATATCTATGGCTTTGCTGCCACATTTCCCTACTAAACAAGAATGTTTTTATCTTCCTTGGTACTCGCTGAAAGAGCCACACAAATAACAGGGGAAACGGACTATGGTGAAACTGACAATACTAGAAGCTCCGTCAAATGCACTCAAGGAACAAACTGGGGGTGGGGAAAATGGAAACCCCCACCCTTCATTTTTCCCTCTAATCTCCTTCCTTTTCTGTGATCTTAAGTGTGACTTGCAATGATAGTAGGCAAAAAAAGAAGTCAGCGAGAAGTGTGATTTTTACACGGAGGGTCTCCCTTTAACAAACGCGCCCGAATCCCCGCTCTCTTGCTTTTATTTTTAGCAACACCACCTGGCCTCAGACAGAAAGAGCACCGCCCTGGATGTGTGTGTGTCTGTTTGTGTTTATGGGGGGATAGTGGGCAAGTGGGTGCTTATGTGTTTTCTTATTCAAACAGGACCTAGCCACGCTTTTATTATTTTTAAATAGATGACTATTAGAGTAGAAAGAGAGTGGGAGAAAGGCCTGGTTGGCTTTGTCTCTGTAATGTGCCGTGTTTTATCAACTGACGACTGGCTCATACAGAGACAGCAAAGAGGAGGGGGCACCAGGGAATAGGCAGCTCAAGTGGATGGCTATATTTGGGACAAAAGCAGCACCTGTAACCAGTAACACTAATCCATCTCTCTCTGAAACTAGGGACCAGGGCAGATGTTTGAGGTTAAATGCACGGTGGTGCACTCGGAAAGAGGCCTGTGCTGAAGTGCTGGCTCAGAGAGCGTATCTAGTCAAATGGAGCATCTTCAGACATCACACGCCGCCGCTCTTTAAATTTGTGATCTTGGGCCACGTCCACCTGATGAGCTAGGGGTGTGATTCCCCTGCTTGCGTACACGTGTGCTAGCTCTCAGCGAGTTCGTGCAAGTATAAATAGCCATGTAGCCACGGTAGCATGGGTAGCGGCACACCCCTAGTGGGCAGGGCAGAGGACTGGAAGTCAGGACACCGTTACTAGCACTTACAGTAGGAGAAAAGGAGACAGGACTCCTGGGTTTTGTTTCTGGGCCCTGGGAAGAAGTGTCACATGGTTACCAAGTATGGGACAGGGAGCTAGGATTCCTGGGTTCTGCTTCCAGTTCAGACAGTAGCTCACTGTGAGACCTTGAGAAAGTCACTTGACCTCTCTGTGCCTCAGTTCCTCCATGTGGATATGGGTAATTTACATAATTAAATATGGATTTCCAATACCAGTGGTGTCACCTCTTGTGAGTTGTCCAATATTTGTTTATTTTTATTCAAGCCCCAGCTCTTGGAGTCAAGTGACACAATGAGAATCTCTGCTTTCATTTTTTTTTTTAAAAAACCTACGTTTCTCGCCCTTAGAGTTGCAGAGAACAGCTTGAAAACACGATTAGGTTGTATCCTAAAGGCTCAAAAACTAGACGGCAAATAAAAAGAACCCAAAATATATTATTTGTTAACTCTCATGGTTTTTAAGCCCCATCTCAAGATTTTTGCATGCTTAGGCTTGGCAATACTACAATAGTCTGCAGCATGGTCTAGCAGCATGGGTACTAGCTAGAGAAGTAGGATGGACCAGTAATCAGGCCATTTGATTGGGATAGAGGAAACCCTCCATGCTTGGTCCTGTCTCCTACTATGCCCAGGAGCAAATCTATTAGCCTGAGCTTCCCCTCTATGCCATGGAGATAACAGCACTGCCCTAGTTCACAGGGACATGAAGCTATAAATACATTGAAGACAGAGAGGTATGTGGATACCGCAGTAATAGGGGACAGATAAGTACCTTACAAAGAAGGGCACTTGCCCTGGATTCTAATCCTGTCCTGCTGCGTGAGCTTGGACTTTCCCCCTTTCTCCTGTCTATTTTAATCGTAAGCTCCTTGAGGCAGGGACTATATGTCTGTACAGCACCTAGCACAATGCGGCCCCAAACCTGGCTGGGGCCTCGACAAGCTACCATAGCACAAATAATTAATAACGTGACTACCCTGAGTCCTCCAGTCTCCCCCAGACGCTCTTTTGTCCAAACATGTCTATTTACACACTGCAAACATTTTTCAGTCTTTGAAAATTTTACTTCTTGAGATGCAATGTGGATGTTTCCGGGCCTGAAATGTAAATCCTTTCCAAACTCTTATCACCTGGATTCTCCGGTTTCTAACTGGTGAGGTGGATTTTTTTCCCCCTCTTTTTCTTTATCAATGCATCCACAGAAGAGGGCTTGTAAATAACTGAGTCCCGTGCTGTGAGCACCCCCTTCTGGTTCATTGGCTATCCTGCATGCCAGGCTCATGTCTACAAATACAAATGGCTTCTGATAGGATGGGAAGTACAACACTGTTAAACCAAAAAATTCCTTTGGCTTCACTGAAAACGGTGCCTCTGTGTGTGTGAGCACAGGCTGAAATCTTTAAAGGACAAACATTACTTGCATGTTTCAAAGAGGGCCCTACATACAATGCAGAGAAATAAGACTGTTAAGGAAAGAAATGATAAGCAGATTCCAACCCTTTGGTTAAATACCAAGATTTAACTAATACCTGGTCACTTGCATGGAAGATATACAGTCAGATCTGAATTTTCAGAAGGTCTCAGCACCCACAATTGGGGCTAGGTTTTCAGAAAAGCTCAACTCCCATTTAGGCATTTAAATGAGAGCCCAAAGAGGGATGGGTTTCAAACTTTCCTGTGCTGGGAATACCCTGTTTCTTCATGTGAAGGGAAGGAGTCCAGGTAGGGTGACCAGATGTCCTGATTTTATAGGGACAGTCCTGATTTTGGGGTCTTTTTCTTGTATAGATTCCTATTACCCGCCACCTCGTCCCGATTTTTCACATTTGCTGTCTGGTCACCCTAAGTCCAGGAGTCATATGATGGGAGCATGTGACTGAGACCCAGGCTGACTGGGGAATATAAGGGCAGCGTGAGATCAGTTGGTAAGACAATCTCTTTAGCTTCAGGCAGAGAAGTGCCAATGGGCAGTGAGGAAGGCTGTGTGGGGAGCAAGGTTGCTGGAGAAAAGCCTGAGCTGGGACAAGGCTTAGAACATGGCACCTGGGGTTGTGAGCCAGCTAGAAAGCTGGGTGGAAGATTTTGTGTATCCTATTGAAATTAAGGTTAATAAACCAGGCCCCACACTTGACATGTGAAAGCCTATGTGAAGTTATTTGGGAACCCAAGAAGCAGAAACCAAGGCAAAGGATGGATGTGATGCTAGGCTGGCTAAGTCCCAGCTACAGTATGCAACTGAAATACTGCAAAGGGAATTCATGCGTCAGACTCGAGGCCTATCTAGCCCAGTATCCTGCTAGTAGCCAAGATCGGCTGCTTCAGAGAAAGGTGCAAACAAGTTTCTTCCTGACCCCAGAATTGGCATTTGATCAGGGTTCATGTGAAAAACACTGTGATCATAGGTGCTTAGGATTCTGGTTCTAGGGCTTATTGCAACACAGCACCTTGAGCATCACACTGGGACCAGAGTTCAGCTCACCAGAGGGCAGAGTGAGAACTACTGACCTAATGCCTGCAACATGCAAAAAGCAAGGTTTAAAACCTGTTCACGCAAAGAACAGCGACTGTGTAATCAGTTCATTGACTCACTAACAAACACATGTGAAAATGACAATCACGCAGTCTTATGCAATGGCGCTGGCTGGCGAAGCGGTGGTTTGCATTTCAGCATGGGTGTGTCTGCAAACTGGGATGTTACCAGCAATCTGTGTGCATGGAAACTCATCTTTTCATGCAATGGGCATAAAACAGTGGACTCTGTTTTTAACACAATCAGAAATATTCCAGGAACAGAGGAAGACAGATCATTTATTAGCTCAAACCACGGGATTCTTCTGAAGCCAAACTCACCGTTCTTGGTGCATGCTCCAGGGTTTTGAAACATGTTGTGCTTGTTTTTGTGTAGGTGGAGGGGGTTGGGCCTGTAAACGCTGGGTGAAGCTGGGATTTAGATTGAGGCTAGGTCTACACTACAGCGGGGGTCCGACCTAAGATACGCAACTTCAGCTACGTGAATACCGTAGCTGAAGTTGCGTATTTTAGGTCGGCTTACCTGGCGGTGAGGACGGGGGAAAGCCGACCGCTGCCGCGCTGCCGCCGACTCCGCTGCCGCCTCTTGCCGAGGTGGATTTCTGGAGTCGATGGCAGAGCGATCAGGGATCGATTTTACCGCGTCCTCACGAGACGCGGTAAGTCGATCCCCGATAGACCGATTGCTACCCGCCGGATCGGCGGGTAGTGAAGATATACCCTTAGTGTTTTCTAGGTGAAATAGAATGGCATAATGTAGGATGTGGGAGCTGTATGAGGGATTGTGAGTTGGGGGGTGGGTGTCACACCTCTGTGGAGTGGATTTACAGCAAAATGTGTAGCTTACACTGAACCACTGCAGAATAGAGAGTAGAATAACGCAAAGTCCCACTAAGCCATGCTGGGGGAAAAGCAGCTGGTAAGTTTCCCCTACAGCTATAGCGAACTCAACACAGGATCCGGGATCAGAACTGCAAACGCAGCTGCCCCCTGCTGCAGGCTTCTCGTAGGTCTAGACGGTTATTCAACCAGCAGCAATCTCCCCCGGGTGGCTGCATGCCTCCATAGAGGGTTAACATGCAGCCACTGGGGGAGGCTGTGTGGCAATATATCTCTTGAGGGTGCATCTTGGGACATCTGTGAGTCATGGAGGATGAAAGCCTGAACCGTCTAACTGCAAGGAGGCAAACCTCGGTGCCCTGGAAGGATTCATAGGGGAATCTGGGCCCAGAGCCTCTCAGTCCCTATGCAGGGAAATGCACATAAGCAACCAGTTTGTTTAGATCCTCTCTGCTCTGAGCTGAATCCCTTTTGGGATTTAAAAGAGGGAGAGGAGGGAAGAGATGGTGAGCTGGAGAAAGAGGAAGAGGAAGAGTGTGGGAGAGAGAGAAAAGAAAGGGGGCGGGAGAGAAAAAAGCAGACTGACCTTCTTTGGCTGCGAGTCGTGAGGAGGGCTCTGTGTGGGTTGGAGTGTTGTAGACCAGCAATGAGCTACCTGGAAGGCAAACAAAGGGGATTACAGTGATGTGAATTCAGTGTATTTTCGGGAGGGCAGAGGAGAGCCAAGGGGTGGGAGGGATGGGAAGATGTCATCACCCGGAACTAGGGGCCAGATTTTCCAAGAGCTCAGTATGTTGGTTGCACGTGGAGCGCTGAGCTCTCCTGAACCCCTGGCTGGAAACGTCACAGTAGGGGCTGCTGCATGCTGAACTTGGCTGAGGATCTGACCCGTTAGTGAGGTGTCTCAATGGGAGGTGAGTTCTCTGGGAAATCTGGCCCGGGCTGTGGGCATTGAGCCTTGAAAATCTGGCCCTGAACGCTTGTGCAAAATCTATTCCTAAGAAAGTGCCTGAATCACCTGGTCTAGTCCCTTATCAGCTCTGGTTTGGGACTGTATCTAGTGGGTGGAGCAGGAGGCTGCTAGGCAGGGCTTCCTGACGCTGGGGTATGTCTACACTGTGGACTTTGCTGTAGGTCTGTCGGCATGACCCCTTCGTGTAGACAGAGGGAGTGGGGTTCCATGGGTGTAAGAATCCCACCTCCCCGAGCGACAGGCGTGACAGACAGAAGCATTCTTCCCTCCACATAGCTCTGGCTTCCCGGGGGGTGGTTTTTTTACAGTCCTGAGCAACGTGGCTATGTCAACTTGACCTGAAGTGTAGACCAAGCCCTAACATGTGACCTGGGATAAGTCGCCCCCCTCTGTAAATTAGAGAGAGTGTCTAGGGATGGCTCAGTAGCAGCATCTCTCTGGTGTTGCTGTTACCGGACCTGGCTGGAGCCGGCAGGCAACAATAACGGGTGGAAAAGTGAATGGGCAGTTTGGTAACCTCACTAACGGGTCAGGATTTCAGTCCCTTCCGTCTCAGCTGAAGGTTCAGCCACTTCTTTATTTATCTGGACTGTTCCACCCATCCCTGCTTCGCACTTCCTACAGCACCTGCTATGCCTGGATCTCTAAGTATTTCGCATGCATCAGTCAGTTAACCCTCTCAGTGCCGCTGTGCACGGCAGCGGTATTCTAGGCATTCTGCGGATGGCAAAACGAAGGCATGGAGAGTCTAAGCCCTGGTCTACACTGCGGGGGGGGGGGGGGGGGGGGGGGGGGGGGGGGGATCGATCTAAGTTATGCAACTTCAGCTACGTGAATAACGTACCTGAAGTCGACGTACTTAGATCGACTTACCATGGTGTCTTCACCGCGGTGAGTCAACTGCTGCCGCTCCCCCGTCAACTCCGCCTGTGCCTCTCGCCGAGCTGGAGTACAGGAGTTGACAGGAGAGCGCTCGGGGGTCGATTTATCACGTCTAGACTAGATGCGATAAATCGATCCCTGCTGGATTGATTGCTACCCGCCGATCCGGCGGGTAGTGAAGACATACCCTAAGTGATCTGCCCAAGGTCACAAAGCAAGTCAGTGTCAGGTGGTGTCCTGAATGCCTGTTCCGTGTCCCGCTCTTGACTCCCACTTCCCTCCAGCAGAAACATGAAAAACACAGTCCTGAAACTGATGCCCCTGCAAATGTCACATTGGCTTACTGTGCGGGAGGTGGTGTTGCAAAATACTGGGGTTCTAGCCCCAGCTTTGCCAGAGGCATGCAGGATGAGCTTGGCTAAGTCACTTTGCTTCATTGCTCTATGCCTCAGTTTCCTCATCCACCGATTAAAAAGTGCTATCTAAGAGTTAGGTATTATTAGAGATGTGGTTGTACAGCACTTAGGCCAACAGCGCTTCTAGAAGCTACTATAGTCATAAAGGAGGGGGAGGGAGCTCTTATTTTATCCAAACCAGATTGTCCCCATCTCTGGCTGTGAAACATTTCTTGTTTCACACATCGAGATTGGAGATGGACATGAGCTGTGAAGGTGGGATCTGAACGTTTCCAGGGTGCACATCCAGATTTTTGGATCGGCAGCTACAACCATCAGGTCTGGGTCCCAGTGTTCCAAGGGGTTTGGATCTGGGTTTTTGGTGCAGATCCCAGTTTTTTTGCTCAGTCCCTTCTCTAAGCAAATGTATTTGAGATAGAAGTGCATTAAGTACCACAGTAAAGAACACGACACAGAGGGAAGGATTTATGCTTTAAGTCGGCTACATGTGGGGCTCCCCGGTGGGGACTGGCCCTCTTTCCCATCCAGTGCTTCATTTGTAATGAAAGAGGTGCCGAAACTCAAGCAATTTTTTTACATTCATACTGATGTGGCAAGCCCAGAGGTACCAGGGCTATGAACTGCCACACCTAGAGGTGCCGGCGCTCAGCCCTGGCTAGTCCTGGCACAAATTAAGCACTGATCCCATCCCCCGTGAACTCCTATGGACGCAGTGGGAGTGCTTGAAGGCAGGCGTGTAATATACATTTCACGGTCGTCTTGTTACAGGTATTTACCCTGCATGTGCTTCTGGGGTGACTTTTCAATGCAACTCTCTGAAGGAGCCTCCACTCAGGAGGGTATGCGTGTGGGGGGGGGCCACATTCTTAATGGGACTGGGACCTCTCTCACTGAGGGCTGATGACGTGACCTAGTGCAGGGAGCAATCCTGCCCTGCTGTGGATGGACCAGCTGTGCCCACGGCGACCCTCTCCACTGCTCATGAATGATTTGAACCCCCTTATTTGTATTTAGAACGTGGCTGTACCTGGAGTGTGGCAAACACTCTGGCAGGGGTCTGGAATCGGTGTGCACCTCTCTAGCACTGACTGAGCAGGGTCTAAATACTGAGCCCTGCACAAGCAGCATCTACCTCCCTCCTACTCACACCAGCCAGACCCAGGGCCGGCGCAACCCATTAGGTGACCTAGGCGGTCACCTAGGGCGCTGACATTTGGGGGGCGGCGACCGCGGCAGCCGGATCTTCGGCCGTCCCGGTCGTCGTCGGTATTTTGGGGGCGGGACCTTCCGCCGTCTAGGGCGGCAAAAAAGCTGGCGGCGCTCCTGGCCAGACCCTTGCCAGCATTACCCCCTGGCATTTGTCACGAGTCTTGCCTTCCTGCTAGGTAGGATGTAGGCTCCAAACACCAGCAGCACCAGCGACGCTGGCCCAGATGAGCACTGCATTCCCGGCACCTCAAACACAAACCAAACTATAGCCTTGTGCAAGCCAGCGTCTGAATACAGTGTGGAGGTGTTGAAAGGCAGCCTTGGGGTAGCTGTAAAACGGAGTCCCCTCCATCCTGAGCTGATGCTTGATGCTACCGGATGAAGCATAGCACAGTGGAACTTTTAAAGAATGGTGGATGGACAATCTGGCAAGTTGGGACAAGTGGGGGAAAGGGGAAGGAAGCAGCTTGGTACAGGGCATCTCCTATGTGGTGTCCAGATGCCACAATGGAGGGTGTAGTATATATACCAAGAGAAATTAGACTGATGTCCTCTTGCTACTGTTGAAGGCATGCATTTGCTTTGGCCACTTTATTCATATTCATATGAGTTGGTTTGTGGTTCAAGTATTTGTTTCATAACACTCAGGAGGGACCGGCCCGACATCTCCACCCCTCTTTCATTTGCAGGCTTATTTAAACTAGATCCTGACTGCAAAACACCACACGGCTTGCCTCAGCCAGACGGGGAAGTGCTGGCCGATTCAGAAACACAGCTTTCTATGACTAAACAGGCTGCAAATGCCTGGTCGAGCAGACTGGTGGAGCAGAGGAGGTGGGCGGGGAGGGAATAGAACTGAGTGAGCTTGTAAGAGCAACCTACAGTTACTTGATGCTCAAAAATGCAGGCTGAACTGCTGGAAGGGAAGAAACCTCCCTCAGTTTAATTGCTAAAAGTTCTCACCTTTGCCCAACAGTCTGAGGTTTCTGGTGGGAATGCCACAGAAAAGGAAATGTGGTTCCTATTAGGGGTTTAAATGAAGGAGGAAGAAAGAGAGAGCAAGCCAGTGACACAGAGACCTGGACAGAGAGAGGCAGATGGAGAGAGAAAGGGCCAGCCCCCGCAGCCCTGACTTCATTCATCCTTGAGCAAAACTCACACTGTGACTGAGAGCTCCGTTTTCACCCTTGTCAGCACCTACCCAAGTCAACGGGAGTTTGGGCAGAATTGCTACTGTGTAAAGACATCAGGGTTTGCCCCCAAGACAGAGCCTTAGCAATGAAGGCATAGGGTATTACAGCGGTTGTCCTCAAATGCTCCGTCGGGCAGGAGGAACTGCATAGCATTTGGTGTGTGGGGCAGGGGTGGGTTTACAGCTGTATTCTTTTAATAAGAGGAGATGGAGAGAGTGTGAGACAGAGAGATTTTTATCCACAAATCCATCCCTGCTTAAAGGGCAGGAGCAGCCTGGCTCAAACACGGGTGAACCTGAAATGCCTTTGCATCCCCCCACCCAAGAGTGGGTTGTACCCATTCCCCTAATGATGCAACCCCCTGATTTTACGAAGGTTCTGGGTGTCTCCAGATCGCTCGGGAGGATCAGGGTTCTACTGTCTTTGGAGCCGGAGTTTTGTTTGGCCTCAATATGGGGTCAAAACCACAAACTTCTCCTCTGCTACTACCCCTAAATACAGTCTGATTGTTGTTGTTTTTTCCAGCCTCTTTTCTTTTGCACACACCACACATGACCTGCCCCCAGTGACTGCAGAAGGAAAGGATGGGAGGCGACTGTTCGTTTGAAGTTCATCCCAAACATATCACAAAGACATCCAAATCTTGCTTCCCACAGCTGGCTGGCTGAGTATTGAGGCTTCACCAGGCAGACTGTGTTTGAGAAAGATACCAGCACAGTGGTCAGTCCAGTTTAGAGACTGAAGGGGGGAGAATGGGGAGTGGGAAAGGGTTGGGGATGGTGATAGGTTTGGCCTAAACTTTATCTTTCCAGTCAAGAGGCTGCAAGGCAAGCTTAAGGAAAGAGTATCTCTACGGGGGAACGAATGGCGTATGCCCTGGGAAAAGCAGTGAAAGTTTGGGTAGGCTCAGACAAATAGGAAAAGACGAGCCAGTTCCGTCATAATAACTGGAGATGGGCCTACGCTGCAAAGCTGGGAACTG